ATTAACGAAGCATAAAGTGGGGGTCGAGGGAACTCCAAGTGACAGCTAGTTGATCTGAAGGTCCATGAGTTCAGACTTCTGGTGACAGAAGTGGGAACAGACTTATGGGTGTGAGTGGTCAACCTCAGGGAGTCCACTGCTATCTCCAGGCTCTGTGTTGAGTGTACTGTAGGAGAAACTGATTCTGAGTCTGTTTTTTTTTTTTTTTCTCCAGCTTGGAAAAGTTAATTGTTGTGATTGTGTTATTTGACAAAAGTTAAAAAAAATCTATATATATTACACACATACACACACATATATGCATATATATGTAATATATATGTATATATGTTATATATAATATATATATATCTCACATTATTGTTTACTCTTCAGTGATTAAAAGCACTTTAAAAGTTCTCCACACTTTTGTCCTCAGTGAGAAGTCCACAGTCGTTATCATGAATTATTTTCAGGGATTCATGGTCTCCCTCCTGTTTGTATCTCTAGCCTTTCCACCAAATTCCAAAAACTCCAGTAATATTGGACTTGCTGCAGTATGTTAATGTCGGACGTCTTCAAACCATCCCCTCTGCTTCCAACACCTCAGGCTCCATCGTGCTAGGACTCATCTTTCAGAACCCAACCATCTCTTCCTAAGAGGCAAGGTGTGTGTACGGGGTGGGGTGCGATGCCAGTATTTGTAAGGGTGGGGTTAACTACCCCTTATGTCTATAGAACCCCCACCACCACACTCCTTTTGAGATGGGCTATTACTATGTTGCTCAGGTTGGCCTTGAACTCCTAGACACAGTCATCCTCCTTCCTCAGCCTTCCAAGTGCTGGGACTACATGCATGTCCCTTTTTTGGGGGGGTGATCTACTACTGAGCTACATCCCCAACCTTTTTATTTTGAGACAGGGTCTGGAACTTGCAATCCTGCCTGGGCCTGCCCAGCCGCTGGGATTACAGGTGTGCTCCAGCGCTCCCAGTTCCTGCCCTTTTTAAATAGTCTTCCCACTGTTCACTGCAGTCCTGTGGGTAGTCTTGCGGTTTGCTTTGCCCATAGAGGGCATTTTGCAGAGATCTACCACAAAACAGGCATTCATTAAGACACCTTAGCTGAATTAAACAGAATTCTTTACATGGAGGGAAGTGACTTCTTTATCCTATAGAAGAAAAGACCGAGGGCCAAAAATTCTTGAGACATGCACAAGGTCACAAAGTTACTGAGTGGCAAGGACAAAGTGAAGCAGGGAGTGGCCAGATGACGATGTTCCCAGCCACACCTGTGTGGAGGGAGTCTGCTTATTTCTTTCACAGGAAAAGAGACTTTCCTGTTGAAGTCCCTCAGAGATGAGTGACTCTACCTGCTTGATGCACCCAGGGCCAGAGTATTCAGGGTTCAGGTAGAGGTCACAAAACATTGCATCCACGTGTGGCAGGCCAGCATATGCCTCCTCAAAATATGGATTGTCAGGCTGAAGTCCTTAAGAAGCAGATGCTGGAGAGCTCGCTGCCCTCCCTCTATTTGCCTAAATGCAGGACACAGATTTACAAAGACAAGGTCCCCCTCCCTTCTACAGGGAGAAGGACAGTAATTACTACAGGCACTTTGAACTCCCGTTGGCTGAGAGATGGTGCTAGAGGAATCTACATTAACTATACCAGAGGTGAATGCCTGTAATCCCAGAGGCTGAGGCAAGAGGACTGAGAGTTCAAAGCCAGCCCCAGAAACTTAGGGAGATTGCCAAGCAAGGCGGTGAGACTGTCTCAAAATAAAATATAAAAAAGGGCTGGGGTAGGCTGAGATTGTGGCTCAGTGGTAGAGTGCTTGCCTAGCAGGGAGGCATTGGGTTCCATCCTCAGCACCGCATAAAAATAAATAAAAATGAAGGTATTGTGTCCATTTGCAACCAATAGGTATTTTTAAAAAGCCAGGGCTGGAGATGTGGGTCAGTGGTTAAGCGCCCCTGGGTTTTATCTCTCATCCACACCCACCACGCCCTCTCTCTCTTTTTGCCTTTTCTAAAGTGCAGTTTAAAGAGACTCAGAGTCCTTTTCCTTTGTCTTGTCATGTCTCTAAAATTCCGTTTTTTGTTGCAATCCTTGGGTGGCTCGCGTTTGTTAAGTATAATGTCAACAAACTTCTGTTTTTCTCTTGTTGAACAACCTTCTTTGCCTCCTTCCGTTTCTTCCTTCTTTTCCTCCCTCTCTTCCTTTCTTTCAGCCAGAGTCTGTTCCAACTAAGGACCTAAGGGGGCTGAAGAAAACCCCATACAGATCTGTCACAAGGCTGTGAGGCGCAGGAGGAAGGAGGTTTTAATGATGCGCCTACCATAGTTTGGGGAGGACGTTTCGTGGGTCGCAACATTTGCCAAGAAACTTCTGTGCCGCTAAACGCCTCTGGGAACCGGGGGACTAAGGCGGGATGCAGCGGTGGCGCCCCACGTGCCAGCGTGGATGGATCTGCTCCAGCGTCGCGCGCGCGGCCACCGAGGGCGGAGGTGGGAGTTGGCGGCCCGCCCCTTCCTGGAGTAGGTCTGTCCCGTCCCGGTGTCCAGCTACTCCTCAGCCTCTCGCCGCCCACAGAGCCGAGCGGGGGAGGCCCGGACTCCGCGGAGCGCCCATCTGTGCGGCCATCACCGCTCAGGCCACACCGAGGGTGCCTCCCGCCGGCGTCGCGAGGGGGCGGGCTGCGCGGAGCAATCCCGGAAGTCCGGCCCAGGCGCGGGGTCTCGGTCCCGAGTCCCGCAGCCGTCTTGTCCGCGCGGGAAGCTCGGGACGGCGTTTTCCCCGCAAAGCAAACGGACACGGATCGCGAGTCCGCCCCGCGCCAGCGCCGGTCTCCAAGTAGGTGCGACCCGCCGCTTGGCAGAGGAGGACGCGGCGGGGCCTCTGGGCACGTTTCAGCCTCAGCGCTTGGCGCTGAAGCCCTGGGCACTGGTCGCGCTTCCTCTTCCTGGAAAAGCCGCGGCCGCGGCCGCCCCCCGCCCTGCAGGGCGCCCTACCAGAGGGGTTCCGAGGGCTGATCCCGCGCGGGTGACCACAGTCTGTCCTGGGACTCGCTGGACACGGAGAACCGGCCCTGCGCTCCAGGACGGCTGGGACAGGAAAACCGGCGGCCCCAGGCCCCAGGCTGTGCAGCTGACCAGACCACCACCCACAGCGCTGCCCTTCCTCAGACCCGGTTGTCTGGTCTAGGGAAGCTCCTCCGTGAGCCCTGCCAACTGGGGGAGGAGCCCGAGAAGACATCGTTCCCAAACCAAAATTAAACCACGGAGGACACCATGGTTTCTGGGTTGCCCACGGATCACCCGTCATTTGGTGTCAGGAGGCTTATACTTTAGGACGGGAACATAGGTGAGGACTATTATATAAGGATCCATATTCTATAGAACTGTGGCCTTGAGCCAGGATTTGGTCTAAGATCTTGATCACCTGACATCCTCACT